AGTAGGGATGGGTATTTTCACCAAATTCCTGAATCGATACGATTTTGATTCATAAAGTTCTAAATCAATTAATTTCGATTCGATCTGTGTTTGCAATAATAAAAGTGGTTCAACTGTGTTTCAAAATACTCGTGTATTTTGTTTTTTTTTCCTGTCACATTAAACACAAAGTGCAAACTTGTAAATCAGACAGTTTAAACATGAGATGTGAACAAAACTGTCTCAAATGTGCAAACGTATTTGCAGCGTTGTCTGTAAAAACTACAGGGTGTTTGCTAGTCAGCCCCCATTTGTTAATGTCTTCAGTCAACCTATTGGCTATATTTGCAGCTGCCTTGGCTTGAAACAATCTTAAGTGCATCTTTCCTGCTCATTTGAATGTGAATGTCACGCGCGTCACTATAAAACTAATCGATCTAATTTCCATCGATTTTGCAAAAATGTAAACAAATTGATTCAAAATCGATTAAATCACTTTTTTTTACCCAGCCCTAGTGTCTAGTAGTTCCCATTGATTATGGCGCTAGGCTTACCGCACCGTGATGTCACTGCTGGAAGATGGCAGGAGGGAGGGGTTAACTGGAAAAAAATTTAAATCTAGATAAGTCATTTATTCTTAAAATAAGTGCATTTATTCTTGGATTGAGGACGTAAAAGTGACATTTTGCCAATGGAACAAGACAATTTACACTTAAAATAAGAAAACACAGTTGCATTGTCTTATTTAAAGTGAATATTATCTAATTATCTTATTTTAAAAGTAAAAATACTCATTCCATTGGCAAACAATCTCATTTACCTACTCAAATTAAGGGTAAATACGCTTAATTTAAGAAATATTTTACTTTTTTCTAGATCGTCTTTCCAGTGATATTTGGGCAAAAATGGCCGCTCCCAGACTCTAATCACAACGAAAATATATATATATTTTTTTACTGATCAATGCTAAATTCATTAAATCACCACGAAGGTATTAGTTTTAGTTATAAATAATGATCCATTGATAATTTGTGGCTGACCGGACTTTTCCTTTAAAAATAAAAAATGAAAACACTCTTTATGAGAATGATGAGAACTCAGCCATTCTTCTTCTTCCATTTAACACACATTTATTTTTTTTAATCCAAAATATAAAAAAAAGTAAATAATAAAAACAACACAGAAAACACTAAACTCTCCTTCCAGGAGTTTTTAAAGGATGGGATAACGAGTTATTATTCCTGGGATGCACAGAAGATCCGCTTATTTAATTTTGCTGCCAAGTCTTAACCTTAGCTTTAACTGCTGTAATCCGAAGGTCAAAGTGTTGGATTCCACGTCTAACCCTCCCATGGGGGGCTGCGGCGGCCGTCCACCTCTGTCTCCACGTGGTACAGCGTGTCCGCCAGCGTGTGCTCGATCACCGCTCCCCATCCCATGTCACTCATCTGCAGGAATGAAACGAAACAGTCAGTAAAGCAGTCAGTACTGCAAAAACGAGCTAGAAATGAGCAAAAATGTCTTGAATTAAGTGTATTTACCATTAATTTGAGAAGGAAACTAAGATAATTTGCCAATGGAATGAGCATTTTTACTCTTAAAATAAGATAATTAGATAATATGCACTTGAAATAAAACAAGGCAATTGTTTTATTCTCATTTTAAATGTAAATTTTCTTGTTCCATTGGCAAATTGTCACATTTACCTCCTCAATTCAAGAAAAATTGCACTTATTTGCAAGAAAAAATGACTTATTTAGATTTCAATTTTTTGCAGTGAGTAAGTCTGCTCAGACGGTGCAATAAACCCTCACCGGTTGGTAGGTGACGTCTTTGGGTGGGTATTTGAAATGAGGCCCAAAGTTGACAGAAACCTGTGAAGAACAGAGACTGAAATGTACTAATCTGAAGGTTTAGAGGCTGAAAGGTGAGTCAGGAGGTTTTACTGACCGTGCAGCTCTTGTACAGGGAGATGGCAGGAAAGTAGAGGCCTTCAAAGAGGTTCTCAAAGGCAACACCTTGGTTAACGCCGTTTTTATAAAACAGCATCTGAAAAGAAAAGAGTCCGGGTTCAAGAGCGGCGACTTCTCCATGGTTTGTCACCTAAAGGAGGAGGGGGAGAAGGAGGGGGAGAAGGAGGGGGAGAAGGAGGGGGAGAGGGAGGAGTCCTCACCCTGCTGGGGCTCATCGGCTTCAGGCTCTTCTCTGCTTTGTCCACATAGTCCTTCTCCTCAAAGTACAGGTAGCTCTTGAACTTAATAAGCGCCTAGGAACAGATTACAGGAAACAACAGCCGGTGAAGAAAGCCGGTATCACAGCGGCCCCTGGGGGCCACGTTGGGGGCCAGACGCCCCATCATTTCTAAGGCTGCATCCAAACATCCGTATTAACCACTAAATCACCACATAGAGCGGAGACTATATAGTAAACTCAGTTAACTGATCATTCGGACAGATGATCACTGCTTTTCGCTCGCCCTGGTAGCTACAGCCGTAGTCGACAGCGGACCGCTGTGAAAAATCCCAGAATACTTTGCCAGTAGAGCTCTCCTGGCGAAGTATTCTGGGATATATCTACTTGTCTAGTGACCATGGATGATCACTACTTTTCAAGGTGCATTGTGGGAAATTTCGAGTCCATTACTTTTTCATCCACTAGACCAGAGGTGAAGGATTAGCGGACTGCGGTCCGGATCCAGATCCACCTGCTGGCTAATCCGGACCCAACCTGCATGAGTTGAAACGTGACTCAAAGTTGTTTTTTTTAATACTTTTTGTGGCTGCTTTGTCATGCCACTTTTCAAGATGCTGCTATAATTGTGCTTTGGTGCTCGCTGTGTCCATAAAATGAACTTGGTGTTAATTGAATCATTTTCATGCATTCTGAGTTATTATTTGTAAACGCTTCACGGCGACCCGGTGGGTTTTGAGAGGTCAACAGAGCTCAGCTCTGAGGGGAGGCGTGTCAGGCGGAGGCGGGTCTCATGTCTCGGCGTTTACCTTGTCCTTGTAGGTGTCGGGCAGAGCCTTGGCCGTCTCCGTTCCATCAGGCAGCTCGATGAAGAAGCCCAGCGTGTCGCCCTGACCGTAGCCAGAGGAGTAATGCTTCCCTATGGACTGGTGGAAGCGAGTCCCCTTCTTACTCCGCCAGGAGTAGCTGAACTTATCATAACCAAGAGGAGCCTGCAGGTTACCTAGAGGAGATCTAAGCGTTAAAATCAATTCAGGTGTGTTTTGGTTGTGTTTGGTGGGTGGGGGGGGGTCAGTCACCCAGAGGCTGAGACCAGCCCAGTCTGGCTGCCGTCTCTGGAGGCATGTCATCCACCGTGACCTCAAAGTACCACGCTCCTTTCCGCACGCCGTGCGAGGCTCTGACCATGGAGTAACCCTTCTCCCCCGTCACCGTCAGCCGGTCGTCTGAGATCTTCAGCTGAGGAGCTGCAACACATCCAGAGACCCGTCAGGTTCGTATTCGCAGCAGAGCCGAGCTTTTAAACAAACAACCGTGACCTCAGAGCACCTCTGTCGTGCAGCGCCAGCAGCACCCTCTCATACAGGCAGGCCCTGTACAGATCACCAGGGATGGGTTTGCCGGCCCAGCAGTCCAGCTCCAGCTTCTCTGGGTCCGGAGCGTGGGGGTCCGGTTCTGCCAGGATGTAGCGGTAGCCGTCTTTGTTGAACGGGTGTTCCAGAGGGTAGCCGTGGGGAGGCAGCCGCTGGGCTGAGAACAACGGGTCGCTGCGATAAAGGAACAGAAGTTTAGTTCCCTGAAACAACGGTTCTTTAATCAGGTCAGAATCTTCATCCCGGCCGCCGGCCGTACCTCCTGGTTCTCTTCGAAGCTCCGGCAGCCGTCCCCTCCTGCTGCTGCTGCTGCTTGCGTTTGGCCCCCCTCCCTTTCCCGGGGCCCGGGGCCAGAGCACCTTTAGGAGCAACGAGACGGACGAGTCAGAGACCGAAACCGAAACAAGAAGGAAGAGAAAACATGAGCAGACAGCAGCAGGGGCAGAATAGGCAGAGCGGGACGGTTACCACGGTGCAGACACACACGGAAGCTGGTTAACCCCCCCCCTTCACATGGAGGGGAGGCTAAGTTTATTAACCCATTAAATCGCTTTTTATTTACCTTTAATGAACAGATTCGGATTATGATCCAAACGCTGAAATTAAACCTGAAACCTCAAAGACTGATCGTGATCCTGAATTTGGTTTTAATAATGAACCCAAAACGCCTTAAATAAAAGCTTTAAAGCAGAAAATTTGATATTTGAATTAAAACCAAAGAGCAAAAACATTTATTAACAAACATCAAGGTCCTTGTGAGAACATTCCTGCCTGTCTCATTTAGTTCATTTCAGTGATTCTACAACAAGTTCACAACTTAAACTCTCTTTGTTTGATCGGGTGAAACGACAGAAACTAAAAAAAATGATCCGTCCTATGTATGGGGTGAATTTTGTTCCTGTATTGATGCAACCAAAGGACATTTTTTTTGTAAGTGAAATTTGAATAAAACGCAGAAAAAAAAAGTCTTCAAAAGCAACTGCAGGTTTTTTTTTTTCATTTCCCTTTTTAAAATTGAGTTTTATAAATTGCATTCTGTTCAGATTATATATAAATGATCCGTCCTGAGTATGGGGTAAATTTTGTTTCATTATTGATGCGACCAAAGGAGATTTTTAAAAATGAAATTTGAATAAAACTAAGGAGAAAAAAGTCTTCAAAAGAAACCGCAGGTTTTTTTTTTTGTTTGTTTTGTTTTTTCTCTTTTTAAAATTGAGTTTTATAAATTGCAATCTGTTTAGATTATATATAAATGATCTGTCCATGTATGGGGTCAATTTTATTCCATTATTAATGCGACCAAAGGACATTTTCTGTAAATGATACTTGAATAAAATTAAGGAAAAAAAGTCTTTAAAAGTAACTTTGCTGTTTTAAAAAAAATTATTTTTCAAATTGAGTTTTGTAAATTGCAATCTGATCAGATTTTATATAGATCATATTTACTTTCCTCTGGAGGGAAGACACATTTCTATTGGTCTGCTGGATGTAGGCAAAACATCTTTTAACTGGGCTTGAAGTGAAAATAATTGTTTGTCAAGCCAATTTAGAAACAATGAAAGCTGTAAAATTTTATCTGAAAAAGAACTTTTAAAAATATATAAAATATGACATATGAAAAAATAAATACTTTTAACAAAATAAAATCTAAGAAAACATTTAAGTTACTTTTAATGCTTTTTAAAAATTATTGTATTTTCTTTATATTTAAATTTCTTACAAAACATATCAATCGGTTTAAACAATAATGGAACAATATTCAACCCATAGATAGCAGAAAACAAAACATCACCAGACGAACCAATTAGGTCATTTATCATCTCTCTAACTATCCGTCAACCTTAAATCATCCTTGGCTTAAATCCAAGGAAGCCCAGCTCCAGTATGCAGCCACCTACAGTCGCTGAAACGGCTGCAGACACACCTCGGTCGCCCGGGCAACCGTCTTTGTGTGTTGCTGGAATAACAGTGAGCTTTCAACAAGCAGCCGTCTGACCTCTTCTGAGAAGTTTTAAAACACACCCTCTAAAACTGTCTGAAACTCAGTTTTTAATAAGCAGAAAAGAGAATCAGTCAGACTGACTCCGAACTCGCACACAAACACACAGAGAAAGCAGCTTTTCAGACCAACATGGGGAAAGCGGAGAGAAAGAGGAAGGAATCAGCTCCCATGGCGTTTTCCAAACACTATCAGCCTCTGATGGTGGCATAGAGGGGTCAGGAGTTCGTACTGCAGGAACGAGACGCTACCATTTTAACAATCGATGCCAGAAACAGAAGTACGTAACAGAAATTGGTCCTGAAATCAAACAAATCTATCGAAACAGTTTTCTGTGTTGCATCCATTTCCTTTTTCTGTTTATCACTTTGCTAATTAAGTCCGTACCCATTTTTATTTTAGTACTTTTCTCCTAATTAGGAGGCGACATACGAATCTCCCCTGAACATGAAAACTGACAGACTGAGCCAACGAAACACTGCGCTGATCCACCTGCAGCTTATTGGGTGGAAATTTATTAAAGTTATATTAAAATAACTCAATTTAAAGTAAAATTTGTTTCATTATTGTTGCAAGCAAACAAACAGCTTTTGTAAATTTTTTTAAATATTAAATTTGTCTTCAAATATGTTTTTCATATTTATTTTTTTTTTCAAATGTTCAATTTTGGCTAGTTATTTATTTATTTTTTTTTTTTGCAGTTTTGTATACTTTTTAAATTTCTGTTTTTCAAATTAATCAATTAGTCGTTTCAAATAGTTTTTCACAGATTTCATTTTCTTCACC